AACTTGCTAATGGTGCATTCAACTCCTGAATCCATTGATAAAAATATTGGACAGGACTGGTAGCTCTGAGGAACATCGTTAGTGTTTATATTGCATTTGTAACTAGCAACTCTTTTATAGCCAAACGGATCCATAATATCCTATTCTAATTCCCAACTGCGTAGAAATTTCCATTCTGTATGTCTGCTGCAATTGGTTTGCTCTGGTTTGCTCTTCTTGTGAGAAGGAGGTAAAGCACAGAAACCTTGTTACCCCTGGTTTTATGAAGTGGTTGTATTATGAGGTGGCATCTGTGGGGTCTAAATACAGACTTGGAATTGGTACTGGAATAACCTGGGTTACATATGGTCTTTCTATGTTCGCACTTAAAGAAAAGCATAATTTGGGGGCAATACAGAATACTGCTGTTCTGAGTACTGTCCGGTTTTAAAACTACTGGCTCTGCAAGCCTATCCTCGCTTCTTTTCAGCCTCCTTGTATAGCTAGGCTGAATATGCTCCCCTTCTTGTGGGGGCTAAGTATGGGCTTAGGCTTTTACTGCCATTTCAGCATTAGAATCTGGAATAAGGAGATTTCCTTGTTTGCAGTGCTAATGTTTGCTGACACCTCAACCAACTGATAGAAAAAGAAGTAGAATACAGTTTAAAGAGTAATGTTAAACTGTGCAAATCGTGATGCTGCCTTCTTAGAGTTCCCTGCTCTTCTACTAAACAGTTTCTAACTTCTGAAATGACTGGATCACAACAGTTGTCTTCTCTATGTTACTTCAGTTCTTGTTTAGAGACACTCTCCTAGGACTATGGGGTTTTCCAGAAAAATTATATATTATCCTATAATTTAAACTGCATAGTAATGAGTGTCCCCAGAGGGATTACAAAGAAATTGCACTTGAAAAGTTTGGTTTTGCAAATTAAACACTTTTGCAGATTTTTAAAACTACATCAGAATATATAAAAAAAAAATTGAAGAAGTAGGAGTCTTCTAATTTTATAAGTAGGATTTTATAATGAGAACCTGTGCTGATACTGAGAGGCTTCTTATGCTTTTGAATCCACAACAGAGTTCTATATGTCACTTTCTGATGCTATAACTTCTTTGTATTGTGCTGCTGTCTAGAATGTAGACTAACATAACTTGGCCTGGTTTTTAGTTTATAAACTTTATGAAAACCTAGATAATTAGCAACTGACTCTAGCTATGGACTTAATGATAGTATGTATTATTTCTGCACTAATCTATAGATTTCCTTCACTGAAATATGTATACCTGGAACTTGCCTTTGCAAGGTGTGATCACTGATGTGCACAATGATTTAGGGAGAAAAATGATATCTATTATAGGCATCTAAGCAGGCTAAGATTCTTCAAACCCTCTCTTGCTTACATTTTTCCTGCTTTCAGTTTAGCTCTTCTCTATATGGCTGTTTTTTTAATTAAGCTGAAGGTGAGGCTGTCAAGAAAACTAAGTGGTTACTTCAGACTCTTAGGGAAAATAGTCATCTGTTTTTCTGAAGAGTAAAATTTATGAAAGTACCAAACAGACTTAAGATTCACAGCTCCCTGTTTCAAAAGTGACTCTGACTTCTAAGTTGCACTGCTTTCCTGTGATGCTGGGGTTCTAAATGTGCTCATTTTATAAGTGTTTCTTTGAAAATTTTCTGATCTTTGGGGCTGTAATGTCTGCTGAACAATGCAATCCTGAATAAATAAAGCTTTGGATTCTTGGGGAATAAAACAACAATGCCTTCACTATTTGCTCAGTGCATACCTTCTTTTCTCCCTGCTCCCAGCCGTAATGTTTTGTGCTGTGGAGCTGAGCTGCAGGCCACTGCCGCGCTGGGGCATGCCGTGAGTGCTCTGCTGCTCTCTGCGGGGGACAATGGCTGCAGTGTTGCGAGGGCGTACACGGGGCAGTTGATGGCGTTTCTGTGGAATCGCAGTGGTGTATGGCATCTACTGAAATCTGTAGGATAAGCAAACGCAAAAATTCCTTTAAGCTGCCAGGCCTCTGAAAATGCCATGTTATGGCCTCATTGATAAATGCCACAAATAGCAGAACAGTCATGAAGGAGTTGGTTCAAACTGGGAGACTGCATGCCATTCATGTTCAAATTTTAACTGTGGACAGAAATTCTTGTCTTCCCCACCCCTGAGTATGTGTTGTGAGCCGTCTGCTCTAAAACTTTGTCTCCTGTCAGCTGCCATCTCCAGTGCAACAAATCTTTTCCCTGAAACCTGGTGCACAGAAGTAGGGCCTAGGCCTGCTTTTCATTACCAGTAGTAGGAAGATACGAGATGCCCTTGTTTACATTCCCAGGTACAAGAAGAACAGATAAAACTTCAGGACTAATTGCCATTTGCTTCAGCTGTAGTAATACTGAGCTACAGCAAGCAGCCTTTTTAAGAGTGTGTTAAAATGATCATCAGTCTTCAATTACTATTATAAAGTAGCAGACTACGATATTGAAACTAACCTCAAATAAAAATGTGATTTTCTTTTTTTTTTTTTTTGTAACTGGCTTCCACAAATATTATGTTTAGGAAGAATAAACTTCTTTAAAACTGGTTTTTATTTTTGAGTATCCAATGGATTTGTTGGGTACAGAGAGAGTTCATAAATCTACAGATAGAAGGCAGCTCTCTTTTCTTATTTCTGCCCCTCCAAACCTCTGCAGTATAAACAGCTAGACATGTTGCTTATGTTCTGCTTACACTTGTATGCTACTTCTACTGGTCTGATCACCGACTTTTAGTTGTCTGCTTGTTCCTTTTGTCTCTTGAAGATGATAACGTGCTTTATTTTTCTTGGGAGTTCATATCATGTGATTCATAAAAGTCATTGAGATGTATGCCAAAATGCTGGAAATGCAGAAGTTAACAGAAATTAACACTGTAGGAAGTATATTAATTTTTAGAAGACAGTAAAATACAGAAAAATTTGGCTCACATGAAGAAGTCTTCCGTTATTTTAAAAATAAAGATCCAGAAAATCTAAGAACTATTTAGTGACACTTAATGGTGTAAAATACTTAAATCCATTTAGGGACTGAATTTTCCTTGTACATTCAAGTCAATTTTTTTTATGAATTGAAAAAAATTCAAATGTCTTTATTTTTGTCAGTGATATGTATAGCTTTCAAAATATGGTGAACAGTGTATCATAAGAAAGCCACAGCTTTATAATCTATTTTATTGATATTTTAAATTTTCCTGACTAATACTGTTGAATAACAGTACCTGTAATTAAGGATTTTACTGATTTCTGATAGTACTTTTCTCTTTTTTCTTATTTTTTCTTCTTTTTTTTTTCCTTTTTTTTTTTTTCAGAAAAGAGCAAAAGGCCAAGTGCTGTTTGACAAAGTGTGTGAACATCTCAATTTACTGGAAAAGGACTATTTCGGGCTGTTGTTTTATGAGAATTCAGAACAGAAGGTAAGCCTGTATGAGGGTTTTGTTTGTTTGTTTTTCTACATTGCTACTGACTTCAATAGTTTAGTGAGGTATATTGTATTAAATGTATACCATTACAAACATTTGAGTAAACTGTTGCCAAATGGCAATTCTAGTCTGCTGTAAACTTGCAACATGTGCAGGATACTGATGTGTATGTTGATACCTAACAAAATGCCCATTTATTATTTAGAGTGGTGGAATATTTAAAATTTCTGCATTTTTGAGAAAACTAATTAAGTAATTGCTAGGCTTTGTAATAAAACAGTAAAATAGTATAGTGAAATGGTATGCCATCCCTGCTAGTGAAGATAGGAAACTTTAACTAATATCTTTGCCTTAACAGTCTGACAACTGCCCAAATTTCTGAAAACTTTAATTATTTACTTTTTTTTTAAAAACAAGCAAACAAAACTTTGGATGATAAATGATAAAAAAAAAAAAATCTTCTACCTTACTTTCCAATAATTCAGCTGCCTTTTCTCCTGTATGTTTAATAATGCTTTGAACAGGAACATGAAGGAAATCTTGCCTCTAAGTCTGTAACTATTAGGCCTTTGAGTTCCTTTTTTATTAATTTTAAGCTTAAACAAAATTTTGACATTTGTAAAGATGAGACTGGAACTAGCCCATCACTAGTATTGGATGCGAATTTTACAAATGAATGGTGTTTTGATATGACTACATTCAAAAGGATCTTTTAAATACCATTTGGTAACTTATTTTCAGTCTTCTTTTGTACTTGCTTACATGTTGCATGGTTGAGCATATCTAGATTGCTGAGCTGAGAAAAATCTTAAATCAGTTGGTGGCATGCATTCCACTAATTACCAAAAGTCACTTTAGCTTTTCCCAGCATCTGAACGTTGTTAGTTATGGGCCAGCTGTCGCTTTGTCCATGAACTAAAGATATACCTGCGGTCATCTTTTCTCTCATAAAGAAAACAGACTAATAATTACAGATTTAAGTGGAAAAAATGGTATTTCTTTTTAATCTCTGTATTTGTAGCAGGAAACATCATTACATCAGTATTATACTTAGTCTAGAAGCTTTTGCTTTTTCTGTCATCTTTCTCATCCCACTATTGTGTTTGAAATTAAGTCTAATTTAGTGGTCTGAATAAATCTGGATTTCTGACAACTTCCATTCAAATATAGTTGTTTTCTAGAGTTATTTGCTTTGCTGCAAGGCTTTCTGTGCAGCATTGAGCAAAATGCTCAATCCCTCTGTATTAAAGATTCCCATGTATAAAATGAGCTTGATGTATTTTTACTTGGATATTTTATTTTTGGTCTTGATTTGTAAACTGTTTATAGAAATGAGAACTTCTTTGTTGTAACAATGAAGAGCATCTCAGTTGATCCTCTGAGTAATACCATAATCTTAATTATTATTTTTTATTATCACATGTTGGCCCTTTATTTGTGATACTCACTATTGAAAATCTATACTGTACACATACAGCAAAATAACATAAAGCTATAGTCTGATCTCTGGCAAGAGAGGAAAATCTAATAGCAGACCTGGGATCCTTGAACTATACCAGGAAATAGCGCACATGAGTAGAACCTAGGAGGTGGAATAGGGAGCCTTTGGCTTTTGAAAGTAGAGCAGGAAAGTCTGGATTGGTGTAGAGTTATGTCTTTTTTTTTTTCTCCTTTCTTTTTCTTTTTTATTGTGCTTCTACTTGGACTGAGAGATTTCCTCGTATTCCTCAGTCATGTGAATGGAGGAACAGAGTGCCACACTTTAAAAAGAGCCCATCTGTTTTTTCATATGTCTTTATCCTTGGAGATACTCAAAACTTGACTGGATATGAGCCTGGGCAACCTGATCTAATTCAAATCTGGCTCTGCCTTTGAATCACGGTTGGACCAGTTATCTCTAGAGGTCCCCTTCAGCCTGAATGAGTCCTTGAGCTCCCTATCCAATGACTATGGAAGTGCTACTGTAGCAACACTCATAAATGAGGTATTTACATAAATTAAGTGAGAAATATCTGGATAATGGGGTCCCTGTGGTTCAATTATTTATATGCCCAGGCTATGTCTAGCACTCTATTCAAAAGAAGAGTAGACCACTTGTCACCTGAATTATGGACAGCAGCAGGCTTTTATTTTAAAACTTCTGGAGAAATCTGGTCCACTTTGTTATGAAGACTTAAAAAACACAGTTGTTGGATTTTGTCTTCTTCATACAAGTAAGTTCTTAGTGTTATTTGGAGAAACTTAAAAAGGAGTCTTCCCTAGCAGATTTGCATTTCCCCCCACCTACCTTCTATTGCAGGATTAAGCTTAATTTATGGTGAACTGTAGGAACTACAAGATTTTGAATGCCAGTGAGTAACAGTGAAGGAGGGGTTTATTTTAGATATTTCTGGGCTGGATAGCCTATATGCTCTATATTGTACCCAAAAGGCCATTATGTGGATGGTATTATGCCTCTGGTGCAGCTCTAAGTTGTGATTACCAGGTGAGTGGGAATACCCAGGTTTTCAAAGCAGAATTGGAAAACGTGGGTTTTGGCATGAACTAGTCACTTGGCTAAGTGCTTACAGTCTTTTATGGGTTGGGCAGTCTGTACTGTAACGTGCACATTTATATAGGCTTGCTTATTTTTACTGCTATTTTCACTCAAGTTACGTAATTCAAAGCTCCCGCTTTTGAACAACACTGTGTTTGGAAGTTCTTACACCGGCTATGGTATAAACATCCTGATAATGTGAAGGGTAGCTACTGCAGTGTCTTAATACGGCAAAATTACTGGTTGTGTGCTGAGAAAGTTCCCCCTCTGCAACTGCCATTTCTTTCATGCTGGTAAGTTTGAAATTGTATAGCTACACAAAATGTGCTCAGTAAGATTGTAGCACTCATTTTTGTTATTAAAGGGATTTTTTTCATACATGGATGAAGATCGTTTAAATTGTTTTCAGTATGTTAAATATTTGTGCTATGTTTTTAACGAATGCTTCTGTCTTAGGACTTTTAAGTGTCTCAACTTTTTGTCTTAGGACTTTTAAGTGTCTCAACTTTTTTTCATTCTTTTAAAAAAAAGAAAAAAAGTTAACATTTTATGTTTTGATTTAATTAATAGATGGAAGTGTGTGGGGCTTATCAGTTGTGTTCAGCAATAGCTGCCAAAGAAAGCTTGAGGACTTGGAACTTTTACTGGTTTTAGGGCCTTCTTTTTTGTTCACCTCTGTAGAAAGTTTGAATTCTTTTTTCATCTTGGTACCAGTTCTTTCTGATGCATTTTTTCTCCTGTTATGACTGTTGCCTTTTCAGAATAAAATGCCACAATCTCTGACCTCCAGGCCAGTCAGTACTAAATGCTGAATGATGTGTTTTTCTCCTCCTTGTGCACTCATCACAGCCACCCATTTATGAGCCAGCTGTTGAATTCGATGGCAGCTGTGGGGTGTGGAAACTGAATGCCAGGCACTCTTTGGAATTAGTGCTGCTCCCTAATGCATCATTGGGGTACCATTGGAGGAGGAGTCCCATTAACTTTTCTCTATGGGTGTTCTGTGCAGCTGGGAGAGATGTTATGTCTTCAAATCAGACTGATTTTTGTTAGCTTTAATACACATTTTAAAACTATTTAGGTCAAATTACTCATTAATGATTTCTTTCGTTGTTTTGCAAATGTTAAATTTATTGGTCTAAAGTTTAGTTAGTGATTTCATTGCATTACACCCTCAAAATTTCATGAATGCTCCATTCACACTGTAATTGGTCTGCAAAAGTGTTAGAAAGCTTCTGCTCTTCTGTTCTGGGCACTAGCTGGAAATGCTGCTTTTCTGGATTTGTACAAAATACTTTTGTACTGGTAGAGAACATTTTGTTATTCTTTGACAATTCGTTACTTTGTCTCATCTATAACCTTACCATTCACAAATTAAACAAATAGATTTCTGCCTACCGGAGCGAAGTAGTGTGTATACACTTTGTCTTTTGTTTTGAAAGACAGACCTGTCTATTCTGCATTAAGAGGCCTGTTTCAGGGTAGATTCTTTCAATAGTGTTTGTTTCATCCATAACAAAAGGCACAGATGCAAAAAAACCCACCCTTGTAATTATGCATATAAATGGAATATAAACATCTGATGTTATTTGACAGAACAGTAATGAAAGTTGGTGGCAATAAGTTTACTTCCAGTTTGGAAAATCAGAAAATGAACTGTATAACTTCTGTAAAGAAAGGATTATTCTTCTCACCTTGCAACATATTCTGTATTGTATGTTCTTTTCTCCTACTTTATGGTGATAAAAGATAAAGCACTGAAAGTAACACATACTCAGGAATGCTAGTTTTCTGCTGTAGTTATGCCATGCTATATTCTATACTTACTTACTTTATTTTATACTATACTAAAATTTAAGAGTTTAAGCTACTTCTAGTTATCTTTGTAATTGGAAGAATATGGCTGTGTGTCATTTCGGAATGGAATTCATGCCAAAACTGAAAACCTAGGATGATAACTGTAGCTGAAGTGAGTCTCAGTTAAAATTATTTGAAGACTTCTGTTGTCTTCCAAGGCCTTTCCATGCCAAGGCTCTTCCAATAGATAGCAGTTTTTCTGATTTTTTTCTGATGTTACGGACTGTGCATCTCTGGAATAATTATAGTAGCTATGAAATGTAGAGATCACAGACTTCTTAAAGCAAGAAATGTGAAATTATTCTTTTTTTTTAATTATATCTGTAAAAATGATAAAAAGGGGTTTTTGCATTTAATTTGTAAACAGTATTTGTCTAATATATACATGCTGCATTGGTAATGAATCAACTTGGACCAAGGTCATTTACAGCAGGGAACTTAGTATTTTGGGTCATATTCATAGAAGCCACATCCTTTATCAGCAGAGGTGATCTACGTTAAGGGTTTGCACTAGTGCAAAAACATATAGTTCCACATTCTCCTAATCTGTTCAGACCCATAAAACTGTAGATGTTTTGTCTCCTTGAAATAAATTTGACTTTGGGTGGAGAAGCCTGTAATAAAGACTGAGGGATATGGTACTGGAAAACAATTGTTGCATCTGGAGTTTGGTACTATAGACTGAAAGGTGAGTCACATTATACCCAGTGTCCACTACTTGGCTAGGTTAGGCAAGAAACATTGGTAGATATATGCCTTTAGCAACATTTGTGCTGGCACTGAGGTCCCCTCTGACTTTAAATCTGCTAATATGTGCAGTGGTTTGTGGAAATGCAAATGTTGTTCTTAACCTTACAAGTCAGTTGCTAATTCTTCCCTACTTTGCACGTCTGTCTTTCAAATGTGGTAAGTCCTGCTGGCAGGCTGGTTGTGTGCATGTGTGTTTCTTCCATGTATATGCTTGTGTATGCGTGTCTGGCCATGGGAAATAAAGGTTCAAACACTGTATAAAGTAAATTCTCAGTAACTGCAATTAAAAAGGCTTATGTTTCTAGTCTCTCACTCAATCTATTTTCTAACATCTATGGGTAAAATTAGTGAACAGGATTGTCTGAGTTACTGATGAATATATGTTACCGATTTCTTAGTCTCATTCCCAAAGTTCTGTTTTTGGATGATCAGTCACAAAAAAGTCTCTTTGCACATATCAATAGTAACTGAAATGCTATGAGCTGTTTAATAGGTTGCACAGATTATATAAAAATATTTTTGGTGTTGAGGATAGAACACATTTAATAGTGAGGCACCTAAACATGAAAAACTGACTTTATTTGCATTGCCTAAAATAGAGCTGAGTATCTAGATTTGAACCTTGCCAGTGTATCAGTGTTAATATAATACATGTTCATAGAGAACTTTGCTTTGGGGGAGGTCGGAAAAAAAGCATGAAATTTGATTAAGTTTTTCCAAGCACCTTTGAATGTTATCACAACTAAAATGTATATGCCTTAAGACAAACAATGGGAATAGTAAGTCTCTGGAGTTCAAAAGAAATATCATCTTAAGTAACTCTATATGGGTGTGTAAGCACAGACGTGTAGAGATTACATAGCCATTCCTGAAAAGTCTGCTTATATCAATAAAAGGAGTATGAGAGAAAATTGCATTTGTCAAATGTAATTCGCTAGACCACCTCCACTGTAAGACTATCCACTTTTTAAAATTACAGGGCATAAATAGTCTAAAGCAATGACAGCCACAAAGGGAGTGGCATTACACAGTTTCATTTATGTGCATGGGTGGGGAGACTTGCTAGCAAATCACAACTTCAATTTTAGAATTCTCTGGGTTATTTTAAAATAGAACAGATGTCTGAACAATACAAACTTTAACTGCACTGTATGAAATTACTTCACCATCTTCAGTCTGAAGTGATTTTAAATGCTGGTTGTGGTTTTTTTTCAGAACTGGCTAGATTCTTCGAAGGAAATTAAGAGACAAATTCGAAGTAAGTCCTTCTGTGTTCAGATGTTATGCTCCTTTTATTTCCTCACAGAAATATTCTTCATAAACTTAGTAGCCTGGATGTTGACTAAATTGTATACTTGCAGCATTAAAATAATTTATATCTGATAATGACATATTCAGCCTTAGAACAGAAAGCAAAGCTTCTATTTCTGTGCACTGTCCGAGGAGAGAATCACTCAGCCTTGTGCTGTAGAAGTTAATCTGGATAGTTATACTGGCTGCTGCCCCAAAATTTTTGTGTGTTGTACGTGACTAACAGTTGATCTTTTTTCATCCTGAAACAGTAGATGTTTTTCAACTTTGTGCTGATGTTTGGGTTATGAGATGGAGAATGTCATCTTGCAAAGATGGTCATGGTTGTTGCTACAGGACTTTCTAACTTCAAAGACTCACTCGAAGAATATGAAACTATAAAAAGATTCTTCAATACTGATCAGTCCAGCATTGGCTTTTTTGATGTGTCCATCATTTCCAGAATGGAAATGGAATAGAGAGCATAACCTTGGAACGTCTCGCTACAATGCTTTTCAGACTGAATCCGTGTGAAAAGTCTTTCTACTTCCTATACTCAATACACAATGAGTAATTTATTTTACTCTGTTTGCATAAAACTCTGTCAAAACTCTTCACTAGCCAGGTAGCTTTTGTAGTAGATAGGGGAGTGAATAGAGAGTAAATTTAGGAGATACTCTTCCTGAGTCTACATGTCACAAAATAAGAAGCCACTAAGAAGTGCTAGACAGCCCTTGCCCTTACTGAAATTCTTCTCATTGCTTTACTCATTTGTGGCCAATACAGGGTTTTTTTGTTGTTTTGTTTTTGATGGAAACCTTCTTTTGGTAGTGCGTGATAGAAAACGTAAGTCGGGAGGAGAGGATGATGATAATAAGATTTACATGTCTACACTTCCAACACAACAAGAATTTAAGTTATTTAAGAAACTGATTTTGAACTTTTTGGGGGAATGTGATCCAGTGGAAGCACTTGTAATTAAGAACAGCAGTGTGTTTTTTACAATAATAAACAGGTGGTTTCTTTACTATTGTTAACTTCCTGTTTTAAGGCAACACTCACCTTTTTCTAGAAATCATTGTGGTGTTAATTCTGTTTTCTTTAGACCTTTCCCAATTGATGAAATCTCCTACTAGGAAGGTGTGGTTTATATTTTCAGTAAAGAAATGAAAGTTACAGAAGCCCCTTGGAAACTATTTTTTTGATCTAACATGCTCTTGTATAAGCGAACTAGACCTATTAAAATTGTGAATGTACTAGCATACTTCTGCAAGTAGAGGCCATCCTTTTAATTAAGGAAAAGTTACTCGTATTGTAACTTCTTATTCTGCAAGTCTTCATTAAAACCTATTAGTTGTCCAAATACGTGGGCTAAAGGCTATTTTGTTTGGTTTTAATATTTGACAAAAGATTGAGGACATTGAAACTTTCTGTTATTGTCTTCTGTAGTGATCTGCCTGCTATATAGCCTACAAGTAAGTGTCATGAATCTGAAGTGTAAGAACTGATCTGAAAATTTTTTTGATGCACTACACAACATGTTTTTAATACTGTATAATATGTACTACAAAAATATTTTAAGGGGATGTGATTTTTCATACAGAATGAAGACCTACATTTTATATTGGAGATCAAGTCCGGTTTCTTGAATTAGGCATCAGACTGGAATTTTTTCTCTAGTCTGTAGCACTTCAGAGTTGATAGGCATAGTGTATATAAGGCAAGCAACCAAGTAAGAACACCAGTTTAAGGATTTTAAAATGAAACGTGCTTACACCAATTTGCAAGTCATCAGCATACTGTCAGTTGTGTTCCTCATAATCAGCGTTTTAAAGTTTCCAGATATTGGAATGTACTGCAAAGACAAATTTTATCCCCCAGTTACATGAGTATCAAGGCTTTTCTTTGTTTCAGGCTTAGTTCTAAATATATTTTTCTTCGAATCAAGAATGGAAATCTTATGTACAAAAATACTCAATTATAATGAATTTAAGGTACCTGTAAAATCTGCTAGTCCATTTGAACGTTTGAAATGAAGAAACTAATTTCTTTTTCTCTTGTACAGCACAAACTGAAGCACTAGCATGCTAGATAAGCGTATCTGGACAAATACATTGAACACACAAAGGTGACACATTTGGAAATGGAGTTCAGCACGTCAGTTTGCAACTTAGTATTTATAACAATCTCTGTCTCTCTCTTACATGTGAGCAATACCAATACTCTACACATTGAGCATGTATGTACCACCTGTGACTGAGGAAGACAAAATAAGAATCCTGTAGTCTCCCCTAAGTCATGTTCTGCATCAGGCTGTCTCTTGCTAAGTCAGGGTCCTCAGGCCTTCTATGTGATCTCTTATTTGTTCAGGTTGGCCTCTGGCTGGGCAATTATGTTGGATCTCAGCAATTACTGATGTTACTTTGGCTAATGAACGTGATCCACAAATTATTGACTCTGTTCTCAGGGCTAGAAAGATGGCAAAAAGCTTGTTTGCTTTCAGCCAGCCTGATCGCTTCAGGAAAATTAATTCTTGACTTTTTTTAACTCACGTAATTGGATATCCACTGGCATGTGTTAAAACCTCTAATTAATTCAATCAGGGACAGGTGGGGTAATTGCATTTCTGTCACTATCTTCTTGAAAATTGCTACATCTAAAGTAGATTCAGGCTTTTGCAAAATTGAGAACTTCTGCTTGAAAATTGTGATGGTACAAGCAGTAGCCACTGACCTTGGAATAGTCAAATCCCAGACTTCACAGAGGGTGTGGTGGTTCACCCTTATATAAAATTTGAGAATTTCTCTGTGTGAGATGATGTACATGCAGTTAGTATAGAACACAAGATATTCCACTCAGTTTTGTCTATAAGTATTTTCATAACCCTCATTCTCAGTGTAACAGCATTGAATGAGTAAACTACATAAACCTGGTTTCATCATAGTGTTAATTGCAATTCAAGATCAATCTTTTGTCTGCAATTTAAATGTTCACAGTTACAGGTAAAGATTAGAGATGTGAATGTATAAACCATCCCAAACCCATAGGTTTTGGGAAGCCTAATCCTTTGCTTTTATTGTTTGTGTAATTGAAGTATATGAAACTGAGTTATAGACCTGGTTATCTTTCTCTTCACACAGATTTTGAAACTATTTTTGGGACATATCCTGGTTTTAGTGTGGAAGTAATTCATTCTCTTCCAAAAGGAAATTAGATTTGTACACTGTGCGGAATAGTTTAAATCCAAAGTAATGTTATGTCAATTAAATCTATTTCTAGTCTGCAGCACGATTAGTATTTTTATTGCAAAAAATACTTCCATATTGCAATATCCTGTATTGTATATCTTATAAGAAATGGAGAGGATTTGCATGTTCTGAGGGCAGAATAGGTGGGTATAGGGGGTTTTTGGGCATTCGCATCTGATAAAGGATACATTTAACTGTTTTTGCTCTTGAAGTTAACTGTAAAATTGTTTTACTGTCTTTTGTCAAGAGAATACTTAGCCAGAAAGATTCTAGAAACTCATCACTGTACCCAGGATATGACTAATCTGATCTAATTTAGGTTAACTGTTTCCACCTAAGGTAAATGCACTTGGTTTTTGAAGGAATAGGCATTTTCAGGAGGTGAGTGAGTGCATTCTGAAATAGGTGCCTGAGAGGGGAACCAAACCAAATGCCCCTTTTCTTCCATTGGCTATGAAGGGACTTGGTGGTGTCTTATGTATAGAATTACATCTCAGCAGTCTAGGGTTGAAAAAAACTATGTCCATAGCATCAAAAGAGATAATGGTTATGGTGATAGAAAAGTTGTTTTCTTTGTAGAAAGGAGTGATTAACTGAAGAACTGAAGACAGAAAACTTAATTTGCTTGTTATTTCATTCAGTTTAATTATTGAGGGGGGTAAGGGAAATCCTCTGTAATTCTATGGAAGTGGATTAGAACAGATGAAATGGTACAATAGGTAAGGCAGCTGGTGACAGATCTTGGGCTATAAGTTTAAACCTTTCTCTTCATTCATGCTGAAGACTGTTCTCAACATCCTTTTGTTAATCCAGTCATTTGGATTGGGGAACTTAAAAACAACCAAATGCAATACTGGCCTACTCTTTGAGATGTACTTAGCCAACAATTAAGGTAGTTCTGGGAATGTCATGGAGTTGAAATGGATTTTTTTACATTCTTAGTTCTATGGTATATTCTGCAACACAGCCTAAACAACTGCTCAGGAAAAAGGATGATATAGAAGAATAATGTTATGGTTAAATAGGTATATTTTCAAATTATGTAGTAGACCAAATGGTGATAAATTCATAAACACAATTCTGTGAGAATACTGTAACACGAGTTTAGAATTTTGCAGCAGTGTTCTAAAATATTTAAGAAATCTAAAGTTTGTATTTAAAGTGCTAAGGCAAGTTAAAATTAATTAAGGAAGGGGCTTGCATTTTAAATGTACAGCTCTGGCTGTCTGATTTTAATGCTAACAAAACGTATGGTTATGCTCAGGCATCAAAATATGGGGATCACTTTATGCAGGGTGACTTTATTTTATATCCATCTATTTTATGTAAATAACTATGTATCTGTAAAAGTTGTAGCTAATTTTGATCTTAGCTAATTACATTAGAGTCTAGATTATAGTTGGTGAAGGGAAAAGTTGTCCTGCAGAAGTGCTTCTGTATGTCTACTAATTATAAAAAATGATTTTGCAGTTTGGAGATGTCTGAGTTTGTGAGCTGAATCTTGTCAGTACAAGCAGGACTGTCTGTACTCTCCTTTTTAAGCATTTTTGAAAATGTGGACTGGATATAGATCTTCCTTATTTCTTTGATTTTCTTCATGATAATTTAAGAAAAATTATAGAAATAATTTTCTTAATTTTATGGGGCATTTTTACATCTGCCTGTGAGTAATGTATCTGTCCTAGTCACACAGTACCCTAAAAATCTTAGCTGAGACACAAGAGAGATCATGAGTAGAAGCCAGAAAAAGCCTTTACTGGAAAAAAACCCTCACTGATTTCCCAGTTTAAATGGGATGAATCATGTTAATTGTATGCTGCTAGCTGGTTGGTTATACTGCATTCTTTTTCTCTAAGAATGTGCCTAAAGTTGCCACAGAAGCATTTTTGAGGTAACAAGCTGGCTAGAAAAAATTTTGACATTTCTATGGCCCTTATTATTAAACATCAAAACAGAAAGCCTTATCAGGGACAGAATGTTAAATATCATTTTAAATATCAGATTTATTTATTTTTTTGTCTTGGCCACCAATTCAAAGCGCCAGTAATAGTGTGCATTATTGTGTGAAGACAACTACATTTGTATGCCTCGGTTATGCGGCTATACACAGTATGCTGTAGTGAGAAGTATAAATATAGACTGTGCACATTGTAGTATACTTGCTAGTCTGTATTTAGCGGATAAATGTGCTTTCAGTAATCAGGCAAAATATAAGGTCACCAACTGTCCAGAAAATATTTAGTACAAAGTCAACTACAACATTTTTTCAACGGATTAGCTATGGAATTAGTACGAGTAGACATCTGAAATTTTTCACATAGTCTATACATTTATAAAGAGTATAGATTTCCCCCCCCCCTTCAAACGGTGTCTAGGTCTCCTGGCTACAGTGCTTTCTGAAAGCTAACTGTAGAAATACTGACAAGAAAGAGAAATAGGTTAAGCAGGAATTCATCTGTTGACTAGTTTAACTGCAATTTTAGACCAGGAAAAATTGCTTCATTCCAGGAAACATTGCTTCATTCCAGGAAAACTTGAAGACTGTTTAGTACTTGTGTGGAAGGACACATCCTTCACCCATCTCTCCCCATCCCACAGCCCTGTTAATGACAAGTCTCCCTGAATACTTTTTGCATAGATATTTTAGCCCGATTGCTTCTCTTCATCAGTTTGGCTTACTCAATATGAGCAGCTTTTTATTAAATGGTGCTAATTCCCTGGGAGATAAATGATAGAAATGGGCTAATCTACTCCAGCTTTAATTCTGTTTCTCATGCTATATATATTAATTAGTGTTAGACATTTTTTAAAGGTATTTTTGTCTTAATTCTGTCTTGCACTGGATTGCAGTAGATGATGCAATGAGGCATATTTTACCCAATTCAGTACTATATGTACGTCTGATAAATTAGGCTTTCTTATTTAAGGAGTCCTGCCTTATTTTGTAAGCAAAGTTATCATTGTTCTAACAAATAATTGATAACTAGGAATATTAAGATATGCTAAAACCCTGAGCTCTCAAAAGGAAATAGTGACTTAGTAGCCAGATGGAGAATGAGGTTCACACTTAAGCAGAAATTGGAGTGCTCCAATGAATAGTCACGTCTGAAAAACTGAAATAATTTTTGAAATGTTGAAAGGCATTAGAAATCTTGACATAAAGCACCTCTTCACGTTTAACAGCTGTGAAATTTTAAAACAGGATTTTTTTAAAATAAAATAACCTTAAACAAAAATGTCAGCACTTTTCTAGCATTATGTTGGAAATGGCATTTCAGTCTTTTTGTTGTTGTTAAAGTACACATTTTTCAAAGCATGATTTATCTGTGTAGGACAGATCTTTTAAAATCGTTTACTGTCCAAAATTTATCATTAACAAGCTTTATAAAATAATTACCTTTATTACAAGGATTATTTTTGCTAGGTCTTTCACCAAAATATAATTTGCATTAGGAAAAAAGGGGCGAAAGACAAAAATGGCTACTTAATTGTTTCGATAATATTTTGATTTCTTTCCTTATCTTTCTTTGTCATTTTTAGCAGATGTACATGGTAGTGTTACTTTCTTTATGTTTGGCAAGATATGATAAAGCTCAGCTGCATTTGCTTTCAAGCAGCATGCAAAACCAAACTATTAAATTCTTTTCCTAGACTCCTATTTTGGCATTTTCTATTACATATGTATGTCTGCATTGTACTTAATAAAATCTGTTTGAATTAGAAAAGTTCTACATTTTGTCAAGTTATTAGTACTTTCCAATGAACATATTCCTCTTGCACAATACTGGTAGGTAACATTCTGAGAATGTATTTTAATTATTGATAAGTGACTTCAGCTTTCAAATCTTAAAAATTTATTTAAAACTAGAGCTATGACTAAACACAACATTTTATGCTTTGTCAAATTATTAATCTGGTTTTAAGCATGCTTTTGCTTAAAAAATGCATGTGGTGTTAACAATTCTAACACATGAGAATTTAAACTTAAAATATCATTGCTATTATAGTTGCTAAAGGTATTGTTTCTCAAAAAATATTTTAAAGGAGGAATGGCTAATATTTTCTGTCTTCCATGCATTCTTTATGAATATGAATAATTTACTTATCTTTCTGTTGTATACAACGCAGACCTTATTTTGACATCTCATATTCATAGTTATTGTACAGTCTCTCAAACTAACAGTCAGTTTAAACAGGAGAAGACTGTTAGTCTTGGAGGAGTTGGAAATAAACACAAATTCAGTGCAAGTGCCTTTGAACACAGAATATCTTAAAAGTGTTAATATGTTACGGTAGTTTTCAAATTAAAAATGTCTTCTGATATTTACATAACTTACTGTAAAACATTCTTTAAAAATAATTTTTAACATGCTAATCTTTCACTTTATGTGTATATGAGTTACTACCTGATGATGAAAATAATCTATGCTTCTTACTAATATACTGTAAAAAGAGGGAAAAAACTTTCTTCAAGATTTCAGTGATGTAAGATTTATATGACTGTGTAACATTTTTCAGGACGGTTCTTTCTTTGCTTGCTTTGTTTGAGATTAACAATCGGACGTTTCCCATGTTTAGGTTTACCTTGGATATTCACCTTTAATGTGAAGTTTTATCCCCCTGATCCTTCACAGTTGACTGAAGACATCACTAGGTATGCATAGTTCCTAATTTTAAACTTAAAAATTACTGTTAGTCTAATTGGAAGGCCATATAAAATTTCTTCTTCAGTTTCTGGATGCCATAATAGGTTTGGCTATTACTGTAGAACACTATAGATGTTCTTACATCAACTGCTTTTTGGAACAAGGTTGAAAAGGCAAAGTGAAAACTTCAGGAAGAAACCTGAGAAAGAAGAATTTAATAATAAGTGGGGATATGATTTGGGTGGGAGGTAAGATGCGAATGATCATATTTCAAAGAAGCCGGTGGTTTATTGTCAGGCTGCTGCTTTATTATATAGCAAATGAGGATGTGGAGATACTGATATTAAGAGCGAAACTCAAGGAATCCAAGGTACTTCAGTAATAATCTAGGCTAGGTTGGTGAAAACATTAAATAAAGCCATAAAGCGTAATAAAACCTGAAAATAATTATTTTCCAAAGTTCTTAGATAGAAAATACTTAGAATGCAGTGGATGCTAGGCACTTAAAAAGTAGCATTACAAAACTAACATAACCAGTGGGTAGAGTGCAGGGAAGTGACACTCATTTTTTCAGGAGTTATGGAAAACCTAAACCCTTAGTTTAGGTTTGGACTTAGCTGACTCTGCTGAGGCAGGATATATGTTACTACACATTACATCGGATCAGTCTTCTGCTCAAAATAAGATAGTCTAAGACATTTAGTACGCTGTCTGTGTTTCAGCAAGTCGGTTGGCTTTTCAATTGCACGTTCAACTGATAAAATCATTTCTATGGTTATAGCTTAAAGCTAAATTCCTTAAAAATCAAGCTTCACTTGTAAAACTTTTTTTTTATTTACATTAAAAATCTGTGCTAGGGTAGGATGTCTATGGATTGTTAACTTGTTAAATTTGGTAGAAGACTGTATGCAGTACCTGAAATATTAAATTCTAATACATACATGGTTTAAGGAAGGCAATTATGGGTTCAGTACTAAACTGGATTTCTTTTGTGTATTACATGACTTGATTAGCTCGTGAACTGTAAGGGATATAAAAATTAGAATTTTAAAGCCAAAGGGAGATGTCAAAGGAAATGCATGAGTTTTTATTTGTAAACCTTAGATACGTGCAGGCTACAATGTGAAATGAAGGAGTTCCTAAGTCAGCTTTTGTTACAAACTAAATACAGTTTTTCATTCATGTATATTGGAAATCAGAATTTTCCCTGCTCTTCACATTATTTATGAAAGTAATATCGACTCTGAAAAATGGAAGTGAAATTTATTGTGTGGCAATAATGCTCAAATAATGTAAAGTGTAACAAATTATTAATGCATTGACTTATTTTAAAATATGCTTGTATGATTACATGCATCTCAATAAATTCTGCCATATCTCTCATAAACTTGCCATTGGTAACACTTTCTCTGTTCTTGTTTTTGTTTGTTTGTTTGTTTGTTTGTTTCCCCTTTCCTTTGTCTTGCAGATATTTCTTGTGCCTACAGCTTCGTCAGGATATCGCTTCTGGGCGACTGCCATGTTCTTTTGTGACTCATGCCCTCCTTGGTTCATATATCCTGCAGGCTGAGCTGGGTGATCATGACCCAGAGGAGCACCACAGTGACTATATTAGTGAATTCCAATTTGCACCCAATCAAACTCAAGAAATGGAAGAGAAAGTAGCTGAGCTACACAAAACACACAGGTGTGTCAGATACAGTGGGATTAAATGAAATCATCATGCTTTGTCACATTTATGTCAATTCTTTTAAGAGTATGTGTAAAACTGCTAAGCTGAAGTTACTGTTACTTTGGAAATCTTTTGCTATGTAACTAGAACCTCTTACTTTCATGTGTTCAAAAATGTCAGTTTGAAAATAGTAGCTTCACTAAGATCTCAGGAGAGAACTTTTGGAGAAAATATTTTTATCTGAGCATATGAATTAGTTTAAGCAACATACATCTAGAATATTTTGAAAGAGTGAAGGTGGAAATCTCTACTAAAGGAATATAATATGCTCTGAAAGAACACTTTCCCTTTAGGGCAAAAATGCTATTGATACCTTACAAACTGAGGTTTTTCTGTGTGTCTGAATTCCAGGATTCCACTCAGTTTTGATTCTCAGTTCTTTTGTCAATAAACTCAAGGCTTATTCAATGGTTTTAGGGGCTTGACTCCAGCACAGGCGGATTCCCAGTTCCTAGAAAATGCTAAGAGACTCTCCATGTATGGAGTGGATTTACATCATGCCAAGGTATTGGGGATTGGTTTGGTTTGGTTTTAGGATAGACATGTTTAGTATTAAAGAACATAGTATATGTAGATTGTTTAAAAAATTTCATACCCTCAATTCTTAGGTATAAGCCTTTTATCTCTTTGTCACAATAATTGCTCAGTTTACAGCTCTAACATCCTTAGAATTTATTTTAAATCTAAGTTTATTTAATGCATAGATGTATGTGCAGCTCGGAAATACTATTTTATACATAAGAGCAGCTAAATACATTTTAAATGTCAGATTTTTGATTCCAAGGAGACGTGGGGCTGTAAAGTAAAGCCTAAAAGAACATGTAATTGTTTTTGTAATACCATGAGAGTTAAAAACAGAGGGGGGGAGGTCTTGGGGGAGGGTGTTTTTTGGTGCTTTTTCCACTCCTCTGGATAGGTCAAACAAAATTTGCATTTCTAGTGGGATTTTTTTAGTTAAAAACCCAACAAACCAACTAACCAACCCCCTCCCACTCCCTCTCACAAATCCAGAATCTCAAATCATTATGAAAATTAATGCATTGTAAGCGTATCAGTCCTGTATTTAAAAAAGAAAATCAAGACTTTTAAGTACTGGAGAAACTTTGTTTAATTCTGTTTCATATGGAAACAACGTGCACTTGTTTTTGCAGTTTTCCATAGACCTTTTCCTGTGTTCTGTTAGAAGCACTTGGAAGAAATATACTTAAATTTTTATTCACGTACATTACCTATGTCTGTAACATTTATTCATTTTTTAAGGCAAGTGCAGCATGGCAGGTCACTTGGTCTGTAGTGTTTTAAGGAACTTAGATTTTTACAGTTTTATTGGAGCTTTCTTTTGCCGTAGTGAAGTAACTGCAAGCATTAGAACTGCTGTTTGCCAGGACCCACTTGCAGCTGTTAGTTATGCCAGTAAAGCAACTTTTTAATGACAGTATTGGCATTTGATGTAGTTGATTTGTTGATGGGGAGGACATGAGATTCTGCTGTATTGTGAAGTGGTACAGTGTATCGAAGCCTTATCAGTAAGTGAGTAGTTTTGTAGCCTGTAAAACTTACATCAAACGCTGTCAGTGGAACAGAATGCTCAGAAACCTAGCCCGCCAGCACTTTGAAATCATTATGTTGACATTTTCAGCCATCTATCCATTACTTCCTACATCTTTACTGGAATAATAGGTGACTGTAAAAGATCACCATGATCATCAACTTGTTCAGACTTTCACTGACTGCTGTAAGTTGGAAAGGCCAGTTTTTAATTGTTCTTCTTTTAATATTTGTTGAAATTATTGGTAGCACACCCACCATACCTTTCCTTGCTTGTAAGTTGTTGACTTCAATATTCAGTATTGCCAGAATATTGAAGAATTTCCCAGAACTGTGGCATATGCAATGGCATATGAGTGCCAAAGCCATTACTAGAGTCCAAAGCCTTTCCTATAAAATTAATATACTTAGCCATTTCTGCTTTAAGAATCTCATTGTCAGGATCTTTCAGGTTTGAATATGAAACAAGTCCCAGTTGCATTATTATCTCAAGGTATGCTAGCAATAATTACTTGTTTGGAATGTTATTAAACTGATTTTTATGAAATTGTCTCATATGTGATAGGATTCTGAAGGTGTGGATATCATGCTGGGTGTATGTGCTAATGGACTGCTCATTTACAAAGATAGACTCCGGATCAACCGCTTTGCTTGGCCAAAAATTCTGAAAATTTCCTATAAGCGAAGTAATTTCTACATCAAAGTCAGGCCAGCAGAAGTAAGTAGTAGCTTTCTGTCTTGTTTCTTTTGTGAGAACATTTCTATCCAGCAACAAGATAACATCCTCATTTTTTTACCAGGTGTCCTCACAGGCTTATGTTGTATTCAAGCAGAACTTAAGAGGGTTTTATTTTCCTCTTCAAATTCTACTGATTGTATTAAACACTTGTCTTGATTAGTAAATGCAAACCAAGAAGAAAATCTATTTTCTTTAGTTAATAAATGCCATCCTGTAACTTTTTTTTAGAAGGAAAGCTAGTTATACTGGCCATGTTCTCACTGTCTATACAAACTTGCAGTCCTGGGGCAGAGCCAGCCTCTCTTCCTCTTTGGATATAATTGTTCACTAAATTTCAATGCATCTAGTTGTATGGGTGTAACCAAAGCCTGAGTTGTCCTGTAGGACATTATAACTCTTTCTGTTAGCTGCTGTGGAAATAGTGAATTCAGCTTTCTTTTCAGATACCATTATAAGTTTGTGGGAGTCCTGAAGGAGGAGGGGTTACGTTTTTAACACATTGTAACTGGAAATTTTGCAAAAAAACCAGAATGTCAAACACTATAATGCTTTTTAAAATTATACTCTAAAGTGTTTACGGTAGCTTTTACTGTGTGAATAAATGAAACAAAAGAGAAGTCTAAATACCAACAGTACAATACAAACAATGTAGTTTTGTAAGTTTTGGAACACGGATGGATTGTTCTTACACTCACTGATGGTGCATGAATGTAGTATTTTTGCTAACGAACTATTATATAGTGAAATGGATCAGGTAAGCTTAACACTGCAGTATGGATATCAGACTTTTGTTAAATCCAAGGAAAGTGTGCAGCACAACCTGCAGTACAATTAATTCATGCAGTTTAAAAATAAATACGTTGGGCAGCTAGTCAGAAAATTAGCAAGGAACACTAAAGTGTTATTGGATTTCTCAAAAGAGTCATTAGTACAGCTAGGAAGTGATAATGTGATTATTACCCATCATGACTAGCCTGCCAAGTATGATTTTATTAAAAGGCTGGAAATCCTGATTTTTTTTTTTTTTTTTAATCTTATGAAGTCTTATGAGAGGAGAATTACAGCTTGTTACAGTAATGGAACTATCTGAACTCTGCCTGCTAGTTAATAGCCAGCTTAAGGAAATGGGTTAATTTATTTTTGGATTCTTTCCAGCTGGAACAGTTTGAGAGCACTATTGGGTTCAAACTGCCAAACCATCGGGCTGCTAAAAGGTTATGGAAGGTTTGTGTGGAGCACCATACTTTCTTCAGGTAAATGGTAATTCTTTGCTTCCCCCGCTTTGCCAGGTATGCTCATATCTTTCTTTGAAAGGATATGAGGAAAATAGAGATGATTTCCCCCCTCTTTGCCCCTAACTTCTCAGTCCAATAACACGTCTTAGACAGAAGACACCCTACCAATCATTGACCCCACATTACCAATTCTGAAGCTCTCAAGTACAATTAACTGTTTTATTTAAACTTTCAGAGCACTAACAGTATCGAACTAAACTAGTGATAATATGTAAAACTTGCTGAGAGATCGATTCTTCAGAGTGGCCATGTAGAAAGCCACTATACTCCTTCACAAGAAGCTCTCAGGGCTTGACAGTAATCTTCATTCACTTCACTTTTCAGAATATTCTGCTGAGTGTAAAAGCTTACAGCTGAATTTTTGCTTATTTATAAACTGGGCTGAGTTCACAGTCATTCTTTCAAGAACAGAGAATCGCTTTAAAAACAGACTACTATTTGTTTATATAATAATCCATAACTTTCTTTGCATTTTTCCCCAATAACTGATAAACATAGAATTCTGAATTGGTCATTGAAACTGTGGTCTATTTGTAAATGAGCACTTTAACAATAGGCCACAGAGTTGTCTCTCTTTCGAATTCCTCCATTGAAAAGGAATTTGAAAAATCTTCATTTGATTTTTATAATAGCACAAACTCCATGAGAGAGTGCATGTGCCCCTAGGAATCACAGATTTAGGTTGAACCTGTTATGCATTGAATAGGCCTTGAATTTGAGTTTCTTGCTTCAAGTGAGCACGGTAACTAGGGTATGTATGTTTTTTATTTTAAAAAAGCAGTTGTGTTTTAAGGTAGATGCAATCCTGTCTCTGCATACTAGTCTAAGCTGAATATACTTGCTAGACTGAGACCTTCAAAGAACTTGGGGAACATGAGACCTAAGCAGTTCGTTACTGGAACTCTCTCACTGGATGGTTTTCAGATTTTCTTTGAGTGTAGAATATTCTTGAATGCAATATTAGAATTTGTGCTGAGATTGGCAGTCAGTCTCAAAATGCTTAATTTAGAAGCACTTCCTGAAATCCTGATCAAAGATTTTTTTTTCATGTTTGATATAATTCCTTGGTTAGGTTTATTAAGATACATAGTCCACCATTCTATTCTTTAAAATTTGAAGTCTGCTTTGGCTGGTGATATCTGTAACCACAAATAGCATGCAGTTCTGTCTGCAATGAAAAGTTTATCAACACTCTTCAAATAACTCATGCAGTGGTTTGTTTTGCTGGGAAACTGTATTTCCTAATTTTATAGTAATAAAAATGGTCCTGGAAAAAAAAAAAAATCTTATGGAAGTCAAAAATCCGAAACTGAGAACTACCATTTGCAGATATAAGTTTCCAGGAGTGTTAATACGTATTAGATAAACTTACTACAGAAATTCTGACATAATAAAAATAATTGGATTTTATCCCAATCAGAAGTGGCTTTTCCTAACCAGGAATGACATTATAATGAGAATTATGTAACAAATACTTGAACCATTCTGTAATATCCATATACTCCACTGATATCATCAGACAGAAAATCCTCAGAACCTCTCATCCTGATTTAAAACCAGTAAAATAAATCCAGCTCTGTTTTTCTCTGAAAATAAAAAGCAGAAGGCAATTGCTACAGTCCAAGAGACTGTAGCTCTTTCAGAGCATGTATAAAGCGTGTGTATGGTACCACAGAAAATTGTATTCAATCTAGATGTACATTTTTAGCATCCAGATCTCTTAGCATGCCCTATATAACATTGTAAGATTCCTTGTGTTTCTTTTGCAATGTTTCAGTTTTTCTCAAATAATTACATTAAGATCCATCTTCTTATAATGTATGGGAAATTCAGCCAGCATATGAAGTTATTTATAAAAATTTGTAATGAACTATATTGAAAATGACAACCAAAAGGCATTGGATTCACTGGGATCAGCTCACTCTTATAGGATTCCAGTAACAGTTTCAAAGAGCAACAATCTACTTTAAGAAATACAGTCAGACTATGTATCTACATTAAGCTTTTGAGGTAAGCTTATTCTGCAACTCTGGATCTTAACCAATCGCTGCAGAAACCTGCTTATAATTCTGCTTTATGATGTTTTATTTGAAATTTTCATGATCGTTTCAGTGTCTCCTCAGAATGTCTTAAAATGGTAAAAGCATAGTCTTCAGTTATTTTATGTAATTAAGCTTGTAATACAAAAAAATCCATTCAAATGCCCTTAATCAGGAAGTAATTAGTTCTCTTGTTTTTTCCACATTAAAAGATTAAAAGTTTATCTCTGCAGGGTGGAAGATAAAAATGGCAGTTAATACTGTAGCCTTGCCAAGACTGGAAAAGAACAGAAAGAACCTTGGAAAAACCCTCTTAGCCTTCTTCCTCTCAATGCATAATGCACCCTCTCTTGGAAATAATGTGGAGAAATAAATTGTCACAAAGATTGCATAAAGCTGTTTCATAGAAGCAATGACAGTGAAGCTCCAAATACTTGTGACTTTATTATATAAGTGGCCTTAGTACAGAAGAGTGGCTTAGTCTGTTTTGAATTCTGTTTTCTTTAAAAATGTGTTGGAACAGATTAGGATTCAGGTGCGTGCGTATGCATTTTAGGCATGCAGGATTGGATCCTTCTGGCTAGCACTCTGACAAAGCCATAAACATCCTCTCAGAGAAAACAGTTACTTTCTACTTAGCTCACCGTTCTTTTTGCTAAGTATCCAAAAATTCTTCAGTTTTGCTGAAATATCTTTAGAATGACTGTCCGTTTTCAGAACCCACCATTGGATACTGTCTTAACGTTATGTTGGATCGGATACCACTGACACAGATATTCCCTGTGCAAATGCTTCAAAAGAGTAGAACAAAGTCAGCATACTTCTAAGTCTTGCTTGCCCATCTGTGCCATCCTAAGTACAAAGGGTACAGTAGTTGCTGGTTCTGCTTGAAAGAAGCTGAAGTTCAGTAGCTTCTCATTCTTTGCAGATCCTCAAATCAAAAAGCTCTATCTGTAATATTATATTATACAGAGGGAGAATAGGCCATGGAGACTGCCATGCTGGGTGAGCATGTATCTGCAACACTATGTTGATCCAACGAGCAACATCAAAGACTTTTCTAGAGAAGCTGAGACTGGGAAAAGTTCCTGTAGTGATGACTGTTTATCCTATCAGCAAGGATGCCACTGGAACAAACAGTACCCTCAGAGTTGAAGCTGATGGCTTAGATTTCAAAAACAAAGTACAAGCAATGAGGGTTAGATGAATAAGAGCTTGAAGTCCTCATACTGAAGGAAATTCAGGGAGGTATAGAGGACCCATCTCTTCAAACTCATGTGGTGTCAAAAAGTGCTGGACAAAGCAGAATCCCTCATAGCAAATTTTGCCACATTGTTACTTAGACTTTCTGACATTAACTCTATCACTTAGGTACAAACATACATACCCCGCATTAATAGTACTTTAACTGTATCTCTTTTTCACTCTTTTCACGATATGCTTTTTTTCTTCCCCCTCCTTATATCCAGCAAGCATCAACCTACAGAAATCTATAAATGACATTGTAAAGAAACTGGAGTCTGAATCTAGCTTGTTAAACTTCTTACTGTTGGGTCACAACTCTCCAGCCATCTCAATCTTTTTTTTCACTTGATACAGCCTTCTACGCAGCTTTGAAATGCCATTCCCTAAGTTTGAGGAATAGCAGCTGCTGTATTGGTACCTCAGAATAGAGGAAAGACAGTGGAATTGGGATGTATAGTTTCTACTATAAGTGACATTCTAAGGGGAGAGATCTGAGGGGTATTCTACATGGATCTGTAATGGTCTCAGCTTTCTAGAAAAAATACCATTTAACCAAGATAGCACCAAAAGATAAGGATCCCAGATGCTTAGTCATACTGTGGAAAATGTGATGGTTATCAACATCACTTCAATTCCAGCTGCAAATAATAAATAACATGTTGTTTTAGAAGTTCTTCTCAGAGCTTATGGTAGAATCCTTTCTTGGGGTGCACAAATCATGCATGGTGAACTAAAGTTAAAACAGAATAAGTAGCTTTAAAGTACTTCATTAAATACATAACATAAAGCCTTTTTAACTGACTTTCCTCGTATTTACTTTTTAGATTGGTATCACCAGAACAGCCTCCAAAAGCAAAGTTCCTAACCTTGGGTTCCAAGTTCCGCTACAGTGGACGTACACAAGCACAGACACGACAGGCTAGCAACCTCATAGACAGACCAGCTCCGTACTTTCAGCGCACTTCAAGTAAACGTATTTCCAGGAGCCTTGATGGAGGTGTGAAATTTGACTTACTTCTTCAGTGTAATGATTACATTATGTGTTGTAACTCTCATCTGACCAGTATTCAAAAATGTTGACATTATGGATGGCCAGAATGTCAACTGACAAATCTATGAATTTCAATTTCTGATGGGTGATGTGAGGAGTAGCCACTTTGGTTACTCGTCAATTTTAGGTGACCTAAACAGTAAGTTAAGTCACTTTCTAAATTGTACGGCACTGCTGTAAATATATAGAGGATTCTATATTGGACATACAGCATCTGTGTTTACTACTCATATCTATTTTACGGGATAGGCATGCACTATATGCTGTTGATTAGAATTCTTTGGTCAGTGGCATCTTTTGGGCTCTGGGTTGGCCTGAGTGCCTCTCTACAGCAAACAGAAAAGGCAGAACAAGTTTTTTTCTTCTAGTTTTGTATCATTTTGTTCAGTATATTGTTATCCTAGTATATTTATTAGTTACTTCTGTGTTTAGTTAACAAGTTTTATGTTGAGGTTGTATGAATAGCTAAAATTTTTGTGTCGTTACTGGTGTCTGGTCTCTTTGAGCAGAAATACCTTCTGGTTTCCTTTATTGGAAACAGGCATGCTTTCCAAAGGCAGGTATAGCAGCAGTATGTGTGAGAGATGTAGAAGCACGTTTTACTCTAAATCACTTCTGAAATAAATATAAGGTAGAAAAATTCTTCAGAAAAATGATGTGAAGCTTGACTTTTATTCTAGTGAAGTTATGTGTGTCTGAATCTAAGTGAACTGTGACAATGGTATGACTTTAGCTACAACTCAGCTGTTAACTTTACCTTTTTTTCTCCAAAAATCTTTTACTTAGAAGACTTTTACTTTTGCAAATATTCATTCTTTTTTACTGGGAGAAATGAGCAAACTGTAACACTTGCTTGAGAAACCTACAACATCTTACCTTCAACCTAAGCAAAAATAAGAGGCAAAAGTCCTTGTGCTGGTAGTGTGTGATGAGTCCTTGCAGTAACCAAAAGACTTGTCACCACATACCACATCACTGTTACTGTCTGAGTTGGTTTTAGTTCCTGTGCTTCTTTTGGTTAGAAACAGTTTGATTTCTGCCCAACTCTCGGAGATTGTATCAGCAAGCCTTTCTGAAATCCCTTGTGTATCATCTGAAGAATACAGAGGTGTATGCATATGTGTTCAGGCCCAAACTTTTACTCTTATGGAGCCATCACAGTCAAAATTTTGAGCATGATGAACTATTGCTCTTGGTTTTCCTTTTTTTCCCCTTAATCATCTTTGGTTTCATCTCAAATGAAACCAGCTATTCCTGGCAGCATTTAAGGCATCTTGCTGGTGTTGCCATCTGCAGGCTGTAATAGTTTTAAACTGTGTTCATTCAAATTCAAACTTAAATACTGTTCTTTCTTCAGGCAGTAGTCCAGATGTAGATTCAGACTGTGAGTGAGCTTGCACTCTGCCTCTCCTTTGTGAGCAGCATGTCCAGTGCCATTGTTCACCCCAAATACCTAGAGCTGCGTACTCATCCTTGTAAGGGTTACTCTTGCTCCACTCCCATCTCACCCTCACTGGGTGAGGGACTGCAGCGTGCTGGAGGAATGGACTGAAAGGAACCTTACGAAATTCAACAAAAATAAATGCAAAGTCCTGCATCTGAGGAGGAGTAACACCATACAGCAGTACATGCTGAGGGACCAACTGCACTGAAAGCAGCTTTGCAGAAAAGGATCTGGGGACTCCCGCTGGACAAGTTGAACAGGAGTCAACAGTGTGCCCTTACAGCAAAGGCGGCCAACTGTATCCTGGGCTGTATTAGCAAGAGCATAGCCAGCACATTAGAAGAAATTATTATTCCTGTCTCTTCAGTACTTTGTGAAGACCATATCTGGAGTACTGTGCCCATCTTTGGGCTCCCCAGTATTAGATGGGCATTGACATATTGCAGTGAGCCCAGTAAGGGCCACTAAGCTGGCCAGAGGACTGGGAGCCCATGATATATGAGGAGAGGCTGAGGGAACTGTGGTCCTTCAGATTTAAGAAGAGAAGGCTGTAGTGACATATTGCTGTCTACAGGTACCTCTACAGGGAAGGTATAGAACAGACAGAGCCACGCTTTTCTCGGAGGTGCCCAGTGATAAGGCAATAGGGAGTGCCTGCAAGTTGAGACACAGCAAATTTCACGTAGAAATAAGATTTTTTTGTTGTTGTTTAAAAAACCTTGGATGTGCTCAAAACTCAACTGGCCGAGTCCCTGAGCAACCTAGTCTAATTGGATCTGCTCTGAGCAGGGGGTTGGACTAGCTGACCTCCAGATGTTCCTTCCAACATAAATTATTCTGTGATTTGTCAAAAGTTACTTGTGGAGGGACATATACCCAAGAAATGCTCTATTTGCCACCTAAGAAGGGATCAGAAGCTTAAATTGCAGAACTTAGTACTTAGAGAGGCCCTGAAAGCCCAACATCCCAAATCCCACATTTGCCATTAGCTGGCCTTGGCTTCTTAGCAGCTTAAGGGAGTCCCTGATGTGGAGCTGAGACTGCTTTCAAAAGAGGATATCCCTCAAAGGTACTCCAAGAAATGCCTCTTCCTCTCAACTTTCTACACCTTGGCTTTGTAAAGTCAAGGCATATGGAGGTATTACAGAAGATTGCTAAATGAATTAAATTTATATCAAAGTTGTGTTTTTTAAAGCTGCTTAATTTAATGAATTCTCCTGTATTTCATTACAACTATTTTGACTGAGGAGTCATCCTGATTTAGACAAAAAAAGCCATCCTGCTCATTAATCCTATTATGCTAAATCAAATAAGAGAAAAAACTAATTTAAGGCCTTTCACTCTCTTGTGCTTTGACTATATTCAAGTATACATATTCAGTATTTCCCCTTTCCATTTTTTCACAAACATATAGGGAGGAGAAGTCTTACTTTCACTGAGCTGTTGTTTCTGCAGTTTTGCTAAGGTTCCAGAATAAAAATACTGTGACAGTTATATACATAGCTATTTCTATATTGCATTAAAACAGTCCTCTCAAAATAGTGAACTTCCACAAAACACTGTTGCCTATTTCTCTCTTTTGTTACGGTGATTTACATAGTCACAAGAACAGTACCTTCAATTTGTCTTCCAAGACTAGTCAGAAAGGTGATAATTACATACCTACCTGATATTGTGAGTTTTTTTTTCCTTGCATAGTAAGTGCACATTATATGACAAGGGTACATTGCTGTTCATATCAGTGCAAAGAGAACCATAGACTTTTTGCAAAGCCAAGAAGCTGAGAAATATTGTATCACTCAGTAACTAGCCTGTATTGCTCATTGCTGACATCACCATAAAATCATTTTGTTAAGAAGCCTTAAAACCAAAATGTTCCAACTTACCCCAATTATCCAAAATTATTTTGTTCTCTAACAGCTCCCATGAGTATCTCAGATCAAAGTCTGCTAAGAGACTTCGCTGCTACTGGACGGCAGGCTGCTGGAGATAAAATCATTGACATTGAAGCTGCTGGTCAGGCCAAGTTAAAAGAAAGTGGCAGAGAAGAAGATGAAAGCCCAGTCAAAACTCCGCAATTAGAATTGACTCAGGATGGAAAGGTATGGCTGACTTTCACACCAAAATTATTTGTTCATGTGGTGTGTGTCCATGTGTGGTTATTTAGTGCCTATCTCTTCTGAGCATCATACAGAACACCATATTAAAATATTAAAGGAAAATTGCCAAGTGCTTTCTGTAGGTTTAACTTAATGTAAGTGTATGTAAGCAAAAGAGAATACAAACTTCTGAATGGCATTGACTTAGGGTTTCTTTTATTGCTATAAATATAATTTGAATTCTTAGTAAGCTTGCATGAGTTCTTGAAAAAAATGTTTCAAAGTGTAAATAATGTTTTATTAATTTCCTTAGTTTATTTAGACTTTTAAAAAAAATTGTTAGTATATCCACAGTTGTGTACATTCTACAAATTTGGGTATATTATGACTGTGTTTAATTACCATAGGTAACAGTATTGTTTTAGTAGCCATTGCAGAATTATTTCATCCTTTATAAACTTGTAGGTTGACTGAGGTGTAGATTTCTGTGAAAAGTTGAGTACTTTGGTCTGTTCCTGTTGCAAACAACCATTTACTTGTCTTGTTTCTTTGAGCTACTGGGGGAATAGGTCAAAAAATTAAATTTAGATCTTCTTTGATTTGATGTAAAAATTTCCTTCCAAATTGTCAGCTAAAATCTGCTGCTTTTCTCTCTTGGAGATAATTTCTTTTTCTGGAAGTTCTGCAGTACTTTCTTTCATATTTAAAGAGTAATTTTGTTTTCAAACATTTTTGCAAGTTAGCTACCCATTTGATTCCTAGGGGGACTGCTGAGTTTCTCTGTGCGGTTCACATGTTCCCACTGCATTCAAGTGTAGGAAGGGAACAAATACCAACAGTTGCATTTTTTTTGTTTGCTGGCAAGTTGAAATAATTTTGAATTAGTCTAGGAAAAAGGCACACACAGAATTTCTTTATGGGAAAAAAATGGTAAAATAAATTACTACGTTTTGGCTTTGGGCTTGGTAAAATGGTGATACTCCCTTGTTTTCAAAGTGGCAGTGTCTTTCAATATTTTGACCAAAAGAAGAAAAAAAAAGCAGTATTCTGGGAAGTTGTTCCAGGAGGCTGTTCAGTAAGGTTTTTGTTACACATGCCAATTCTGTGAACAGCTTGCTTTCCCCCCTTAGCGCAGATACTTCTTTTCCTTTCTGGCTCTCTTTAAGTCTTAGAGGAAATGGTTTTAAACCCAAGAATGAAAGTGCCAGCTTGTCTTTCGTGTACTGCACTGTCCCCTGACCTTTCTGCCAAAGCTTTGAATGTCTGTCCGCTTCCATCTGTTGTAAGTGACTATTACAGTTCAAAAGTGCACAGTTCTTTACAGCCTGAGAACAAAACATTCGTACTGGGTTTCTTTCATAATCCACAGAAGTAAACAAGTTGGCTGCTTGTAAAACACAAGGGGATTTCTGTTTTTATTTGGCATTTCTGTTGTGTTAGTAGAGCTATCCCTGCTTCTAAGTAAAAATTTTCACTAACTAATAATTTCTTTTTTTTCCCTCTTCTTGTGCCTTCAAACTTGCATTTTGTTGTGCTTTCATTTTCTACTGTGCACAGAATTTTTTTCTTCAGCTTAGTCATGTACACCCACCATCACTACCCATTCATTCTGTGTCATCCCATCTCACAAACCTGTCACCTGTCCCTGAGATGGACATACTGTCAGATATTTCAGAGGAAGATCCTTTTGGGGAGCCCCTCCTTACCAACCCAGACATCTCAGAGTGCAATTCCATGAAAGAAACACCAGATCATAATAAAACCAAAATAGCTTCACTGAATAATATCTTTGAATTTATGAGACCGCTAGCTAGGCAAGGCTCCCCTGCTGGGGAGGGAAAAATCCATACAAATGACTGCAAAAGCACCGAGTTATGTGTCTCATTCAGCTTTATCAGATGCTTTTCTCTTAGTTTCTGTTCGCTGCTTGATGAGGATGGTTATATTACTTTTCCTAGCCTTCCTGATGTTTGCATCTCTTTCCTCCCACCTGGCCTTCAGCACTATATTCCTATTACCTCTCCTTCCTTCATCCCCTCTTTTCTCCTTATCTTTGTGCTGCTTCTGTCTGCTTTCCAGTCTATTCCTTTTTCACTTACATTTTCCCTTCCTCTCGCTCTGTCCCTCTGCTACCTGGAGTCTAAGGCGACTTCCTTTAGTGCCTCTAATGACAATGACCTGAATGACAAAGCAGAGGAAGAGGAGGTGTGTAATTTTGTTGCTTAAATGTTGACACTTGCACATAGCTTTTATGCTTGTTCTCCCAGAGGCTTGCTCAGTTTTGCACACCTCCTAGTATAGGGATATGTCTATATACATGCCTGTATATATATAAATACACACACACACACGTGTATATCTGTATCTTTCTAACTTTTCTCATTTGTGAAAAATTGCCATTGCAGGATTTTTAGTCAATAGATAGCTGGTGGTTTTTCTGCCTGAATTCCTACAGCATGCTTAATTTCGTTAGATTCCACAGATACTGAGCTGCAGTTAGAGTTGCTTTGTAGTTCAAAATGTTGACGAGCACATAAATCTGAGTACTGAAAGTGCTGTGTAATAATAGATACATTATTACTTGATACTATTTGCAAGTTGTGCTACTTGCACTATGAGTTTGTGTTAAAATGCATGTCTCCTGCGTGCATTGACTGGAACGCACCTCTCCAAAGTTCTGTTTAGATCTGAAAAGTGAAATTCCTAAAAGCTGAATTCAGAAAACTGTGAATGCTTTAAAATCAGCCTTTTTGTTATTCTAGATTTCAGATGTTTCTGCTCTATAAGGGTGTGTGCAAAGTTGAGTCTGTCCAAGACACTTTTTTTTTTTCTTAAGTGCTTTGATTAATCTCTAGCAGCAGTTAAGGTGGATACTGATTTCGTTCATTAGCTCGGATTGCAGGTTGTGTCAGACTTTAATCACTGGAGTCTGAACATTCTTTGAAATACACTGTTAAAATTGCTGAACAGAAGCCTCAGTCACATTAATATGTTGTTCTGATCATCTGGAGTGGTTGACAAAATGCCTCCTTTCCTTATGTCTGCTGTGCATGTTACAGCAATACCACTAGAAAAAGGTGGTTTATTTTGATCTTCAAAGAAAATATGAAACCAAATATTATAGAATCAAACAGGGGGAGGGCCTGTTCAATGTTACATTTAACAAAGTTTGTTATACTGATTAAATCAATACAATGTACATATTAAAAACATGCTAAATATGACCTGATGCCATTAAAAACACCAATCTAAGTTTAAAATAATGAAAAACATGACTTCAAAGACTTTCTCAATTTTTCTGTAACATAATTCAATCCATCATTTGTAATATAAAGTTGCAGAAAATAGAACCCCAGATAAGTGAGAAATGGATAAAAATGCGATATGTACCACATTATGTATGCATTCACACAGAATCCAAAATGCAACAGTATGTGCAATAAGTAAACCCCTCTTCAAATTTATGTACTTGCACAGTGTTGACTTCTAAATGCATCCTTTCCTAAGATTAGCAGTTGATATTTGTACCTGTGGAAAGACTGGGAAGTGGTTTGCTTTTTAAAGAATGCTGTTCCTTAAGGCATTCAGAATACTTGTAGGTAAGATATGAAGATTAGCTATCATTTCCAATAGAAAGCATTGCAGTTTGAGGAAGAATGTATTCACCTAAAAAGGGGGGTGGGATGCAAATAACTCATCCCAAGCCAACAACATTCTTAAAATAATTAAGACAGTTTGTAAATACAGTATTTAGGTGTTTGACTTGAATCTTAGACTCTCTTACCAAAAGAACTCATGCATTAGATTCCATTTTCCCATCAACTTGTTGCAGAGTCTAAGACGCTTACCATAGAAATTACGCATATCATTTTTTTTCTTTACTCATTCTTAAATTTTCATTTGGGAAAACACTGAAAAGTACAGCAAGAAAGGGACATAGTGTGAAACTTCCATTTTTCATGCCAAATACTACTTCAGCCATTCTACAAGAATGTAGGTGAAGGAAGACCAAAGTCGCTTAATAATTTCAACACCACCTGGGGCCGAAACAGGAAAGGTCTGTAAATACAGCACGCTTTGCAGCATTTACAAAGAGATGAAGCCGCTGTTAGTCTGTAAGCGTATGTTAACGGTTCCTTTTCTTGATAATTTGCCATGTGCTCATATAGGTGGAATCTGAAGAGGAGGAAGCACAGCAGAAGGTGCATGGTTGGTTTTTTGCAATTAAATCTGGCTGTAGCTGCCTGCCTTGTTAGCACCCTAAACTTTCTGTGGATTTAGTCTGAATAGTGCCTTTTCACCTTACCATTTTATTTCCTTTATTTAACTGTCTGATTCTAAGGATCTTTTTTTATTTACTTGCTGTACATTTTATGTTCATTTTGGGTTTTTTTTGTTTGTTTGTTTGTTTTTTTATTTTGTGTGTGGCTTAATTTCACAGAGCAATTCCTTCAGAGTAGACGGGGAAAATATTTATGTCAGACATAGCAATTTAATGTTGGAGGTTTGTATATAATATAAGAAACACTTTCCCTTCTCACGGGCTGCCAGGCTGCATGGGATGGGAGGTCACTTGCAGGCTGTTACAGACAGAGTGCATGAAGTGCATGGGGGGAAATGTTGCATGTTATCATTCCAGTCTCTGAGTTTAAATTAAATAAAAAATACAAAAAAAAACCACCAAAGAAATCCAAACAAACCAAAAAAGCCTTCAGCTTGAATGTTGAATGTACATTTTGTATGTTTTTACTAGATGTTTTCAAGGTGGCAACTGGGAATAATAGCCCTATTTAGATAAAGCAGACACATGGGTCCAATTCATAATCCTAAATGGGATTTTTATACGTTGCTTCTCACTGTGCGCTTCTTCTGTTGAGCAGTGTTTCTACTTTTCACCAGTTTAATCAACCTTTATCAAATACATTATCTGAATAAATGGAGTTAGTAAGGCACAAGCAGTGATAGAAGTATGGAAAAACTAATTCTGGTTCTGACCCTCATTGATTTTAGGAGCTTTGAGAAATGTATGTGAGGATCAGATTGTTAAAGAGAATGTTTAGATATGCTTCTGAAATCTTTGCCTTATTTTTTCACTTTTCAAATGGAAGTAATTCTTGCTTCCTAAAGGCTGGTTTTCATTGAAGATGAGCAATAACAAAGAGCTTTGAACAATATGTTAATGTGTAGTGCTTTGTCACTGAAGTAGAATTTTTTACTATAAGAATTTCCGTATAGTCTGCTAATCTGGATTATTTTATCAAAGACTGTCTGTAGTTATAATCAGTGTCACTTAACTTGTGGTTAATAACATAAACTAGTAACTGAAGAAATTTTAGAAAATCCTACTGCTGTCTTTCATTTATTTTATTCATCCAGATGGGGCTATAAATAACTCCCTTTGTCACAAAAACTGTCTTTTTAAAAACCATTGGTTTTGTTCACTAATAAGGAGATGTATGGATCGCAGTAACCCAACTAATAATGTTTTTTGGCTTTTTGCAGCTTTTGATCACTATTGAAACTTTGCTTGTGTATAACTTACTAAAGCACTGAAAGTGTGCATTGCGTAACTGTGCTTTGATCAAGTCCGAGAAACGTGCCTTGTGTCAAGCCAAGACAGGTTTTAAAATTATGACATGATTGTTACAAGCTTCAGTTGGGTAATAGAATGCCTTTGGCATAAGGTTTTACTTCACTCAGAAAATACATACTTCAGGGGTACATATTTAATGTCTCACTTTTTAGTCCTAGATTAAAAGTGAAGCATTCGTTCTGTGACAATATGAACCTACTGAATTGCCAGACGGGGAGAGGTTCTTAGTGTTCAAAGTGCGTGTGTGAATATTCGCAGAATTAGGAAATAGATGTCCAGCACCAAACTGTTACTGGTGCTGAACATGCAAGTGAAAAGAAATTAGAAACTCATGAGTTTTTATTAGGTTTGGATTTTTCATGACTTAAGATGGGGGGTGTCTTTGCATTGTGAGCACTGACTATAAAAATCCTAACCAAAATGTAAAAGTAAAATTTCAAAATGTTCTGTTCCAAAGTGTGTAAAATCTTTGTGCAAAAAACAGATGCTTTACCTAAATTATTGTATCTGATTACATTCTTTTGATAAAAGTTAATTAATAATTATGTCCACATTGAAATTACTCCATTTTTAATGTTCAGTCTTTTAATTCTGTACTAAAAATGGATCTTAAACTTGAATTTCACCAGAGTACTGGAAAAATATTCTTGTGTTAGAGTGTGCATAACCAATGTAGCTTTCTCAAGACCTGGCGTGCCGGAAGGAGGGCAGATTATGAAAGCTGAGTGAAATCTGCTCTTCCCACCAAAGCCCAGTGTTGTATTTAAAGGATAATGAATTTCCAAGAGAGATTTTTGCCTACTTACCAGAACAGTTACATTTCTGCATAGCTCCTGATCCTTATGTCTGCTCCTGTATCTATAAAGTGAAAGTGAAAGACTAGCTTGAAGTTATTTCATCTAAGGTGCTGCAGCTTAGCCTCAATGGGACATCACAAAATCTAATTCGATATTCACGCGGTGTGTCTCCTTTGGCACTTGCCTATGTAGGTGCAATTTAGAGAGAACATCTCTTTGGTATTGGTGTGCACAAAAAGTATCGCTATTTGAGTGCTGTGCCTGCTGTCAGGTTCTTAAACGTGAAATTGGCAGATAGTAGGCTTTAAGCCTTTAAATCTGATTCTTTCAGTAAGTTTAAGCCTACATGACAGTCACAATGAGCAGTTCCTCTGAAGTTAAGCAGGTGTTAGTTGCTTGCATATTTGTAGTGTTGTCTTCACAGAAGTAAGTATTTTTCATGGAGCTTGTAATATCAAGAAAGATGCATTTTTATAATGCTTCTTGGGTTAGACTATTCTTTCTTATAGCTGCCTTCAGTAATGTTAGTTGTGCAGTATCCCAAAACACTTGCTTCTGTGCTTGCAAATTTTAGATGAAACCAAGCAACTACTGGAAATTATTATTGTTACATAGGGCTAGTAGTTTCATGTTTTGGATGAAAATAGCCCTTTGTTAAATAACCATAACAATGCACAGCATTATTTTTCCTTTGCCTTAAAATATGGAAGAAACAGTGTATGAGTGGACTTTCATTCCAAAAACAAAACCAAAAAAATCTTTGTTCCCTTATAGCCTTAAACTTTTTTATTTTAAGGCACTCCAAAGAAGAATAGCTCTTCAGACACAAGGCACTTTCCTTGGTTTGGTTTCTTTTTTTTTCTTTTTTTTTTTCCCCAGTTAAGTTTGCTTTTGTTGTCGTGTTTTGTCCTACTTTGTTTTACGTTGTGGGTTGCTAGGACCTGGATAAGACCCAGGACGACCTACTGAAACACCAGGCTAGCATTAGTGAGCTCAAGCGCAATTTCATGGAATCCACACCTGAACCACGCCCAAATGAGTGGGAAAAGCGGCGTATCACACCTCTGTCCCTACAGACACAAGGGGTATGTCACTGCAGATGCTTGTCCGCATGCGTTTCCGTACAACCCTGTATGTAATACAGTAAATGCAGTTTGTCCTTTAGATTAACACTTTTTTTGGCTAATGTAATACTTGTTTATACTAAGTATACATTAACTTTTTACCACTTATCATTGGACCTGACTTTAAATAATGTGTGGAATGTTATTCTTCTACAAGAACAACTGAATTAGAATCACTAGAAAAAAATTGAGGTGATGGCAGTATTTTCCTGTGTGTTAAGGACAGCTTAAATTTCACTCTGATTTACACAGATTGATGGAGATAACTTTTCCCTCCTTTTCCCTCTCTTTAACTCTTCATAGACAGCTTGTGCATAAACACACACACAGCCTGTGTGTTGTTTCAGAAGGACCTTATATGATCAGTTAATTTACAATGTTGACTTCTTCGGGACATATTTAATGTAGTTGTTAAAATTTACTCACTTTAATCTCCAAAAGTCTGTAAAATGAATTTACCTACTTTTTCTCTATACCTTCTCCCTGACTGAACCTTAAAACAGCAGTTTGGAAAATAATTTTCTACAAATATCATCCTGAATGCTTGTGGCAAGAAAACTACCCAAGTAAATTTCTCTTGCTGTTGTGAAACTTGTAGTTTTATGAGGAGTTATTTGCTGCTTCTTTCATAGAGTAGAAAGGCAAATCAGTCTTCAAAAGCAATCAATTTATCTTCTGTTGTTATCCTTTTCTTCCACCATTGTTCCTACCCTTTTCTCCTAAAAGTATTCTTGTCCTATCTCATTAAATTCTTAAGTTTTCTCTTTAGTCCCCGGAGAGGTGAACTTTCAATTAAGCTTGCTTGATGCTACCAAATTATTTTTGTTAATAAGACATTATTTCATTAAGATTCTTAAGCAATCTGAACTGTGAGTATGTGCATACAGGTAATACAGTCACTGACTGTATGGATCACTTCTTTAATGACTATTTTGTTAATTTATGGTTACTGCCAAGAAATTATTCCTCAAATTCTGACTAGTACCTAAAATATTTCTACGCGTAGTGGTATATGCATAGGTACAAATGGTGGTCAAATTCTCAAATGTCCACAACACATTGGTTCATTTAATAGCTATAAATATCTTTTTGGTTAAAATAGACATTTATGTAAAAGTGTAACTTAATTTTTGTTATGTGGTTGTGTGTATTTTCTGTGTTGATTTCTTTGTATTGAAGTTGAGGCCTCTCCAAGTTCTTTTTCTGTCTATTTTTTTTCCCCTCATCTAGAATGTTCTGTCACTTTCAGGTGGTTTGGCTTTATGTTTATGTATAGTGTGTGTCTGTCTCATTGCATGTTGATTTACACTGGTTTTATAAAATGAAAACCAAATAGAAAAAAGGAGACCACATTTTCCAAGTGAAAACGCTGCCTGGGAAGGAGAAGCAGTGGACTGCAATGCCATGGATTGCTGGAGCAAAACCAGAGGAAACCAATAAGGTGGCTGCCCTGAAACCTACTGCCTTTTTGCTGTATCTGCTGTGGGCTAGCTTGGGCACTTCTTTCTTTTTCTTTTTTTTTCCCTGATGGAGATATCTTTTTTTAAGCCAGTACTGAAAGGAGAAGGTTGAGTTGTAAACCAGGATCTGTGTGTGTGTATGCATATACACATACATGAATGCCAGCAACATTCTGCTTAAACACGAAACTAGAGGTGAAGTTCTGAATGGCTACTATTTGAAAAGGAAACCAATTTTTCACAGGAAAATTACTGTATTTTATGTGACTAGGATGACAGCAAAACATGTATTTGCATTCTATATGGAAATAATTGTCTGCAGTTATTTACCCTTCACACAAGAACTTTGGCTTTACATGTTCGCTATGTAATCATTATTCAAATCAGTAATGCTGTAGAAGCAGCTTCATTTCAAATGCAGCCTGGTTCTGAATACCTCCAGGCTTCTGTACCTCTCTTTTCATCCAGGAAAAGAGGGAGATTTTCTCCCCCATAACCTGTTTTAACACGTATGCAGTGAAAAACACTATATAACCAGTGGGACTACTTGCAGTGTGATAGTGATGATGGGTACCAATTGTGATGTTGCTTTTTTACATCACTTTTGGACTATTTTCCACCACCTAAGAATTGGGACAAAAGTAGATTAATGTAAAGCTGTCAGTCCTATTTCAGTAACATATATAAATACGAGGTTTGGGAAGCAGTGTATTTCCATCCTGAATTATTTGTTGATGGATGTAGAGAAGTTTGTATTCAAGTGTTTTGTTATCCCCAATTTATAAACTTGCTGGTATTAGTAGACTAATACATTGCTCAGTCCTATTTCTGGACTGTATGTTTCCTTGCCTGTCTTTTAGGATAGTTGGACAATAGACGAGCGTAAGGCAGGGATACCACTGCTAATATTCTTTCTTTTCTTCCTTCTTTTGCTCCAGTGAAAATACTTGCAAATAAGTCATTTTCTGTGTATGAGAAATGTTATTTTGGATACATCTCGTTTGTGCCACTACACTTCTGTATCACCATACTCCCACAAATGCACAGCATCTGTGACTTAATTATAACAGAAATTGTGACACATTGATATGTATGTCGCAAATAAGTATGTGAAATTTTGTTATGTTATGGATACCCACAATATATTTTTTTTTTAATCCATCCCCCCCGACCCCTGCTGCTTGTAAACAGTATTTCATGTTAATGTATATGACTGTACTAGAAGGAATTTGCCAGGAATTTAAACATCTTCACAGGCTGATACATTATTGTAATTACAGTAATTTGAGGAAAAGTGCCAATCTATCTATACGTTTAATCATTTTTACTGAATGCCTCCTCAGGGAACATGGTTACATTATCAAACAAATTGTGTGATTGGGATTTTCCTTTTAAAAGATTAGAAGACCTAAAAATTTGAAGGTGGTAAAATGCAAAAAGATGGGTGGTTTGTGCCTGTCTTTAATTATATACATATGTGGGGAGAGACACATTCTGACCATATACCACATAAAGTTTTTTTTTTTTCCCCCTGCCTTTTTTTTTACTGCTTTGGGTGGTTAGAAAACATGTGGTACCAGAGTACAGTAGAAGGAGTATCATGAACATTTTTGCCTTTTGATGTAATCTATTAATAGAT